CATGAATCCTGATAGAAGTTGCAGCCCTGGATCTTTCCCAAATCATTGTTTGAAACATGTGAAACTGAATCTTGTATTTACATTTTGTTTTAAAAATTTAGAAATAGAAATAAACAACCCTTTAAATCTGCAAATACATTTGTGGTTAACTGAGAACTAGAGAAATTGATAGTTTCTAAGTGTGAGTCCTTGTGGGTACGATATCCGACTCTCGAAAATAGCCACTTTATTACTTGTACGATCACGTGCACTTGCGTGTGCGATTAGACTGCAACAGTGATCTACATCCTCTCCCATAGAGTGCCTCAAATGGTGTCATATCTATGCTGGAGTGATAACTATTATTAGAGGAGAACTCACACAACGGTAGGAACTTGTCCTAATGCCCTCCAAAGTCAATCACACATGCCCTCAACATGTCTTCTAAAACTTGAATAGTCCTCATTGATTGTCCGTCCGTATGTGGATGGAAAGTTGTACTAAAAATGAGGTGTGTGCCCAATTTCTCATGTAATTTTCTCCAAAACTTGGAGGTGAACTGCATACCACGGTTTGAGATGATAGAAAGGGGCACCTCATGCAACCTTACTATCTTCTTTACATAAACCTTAGCCAATTGTTGAGCATTATAATCTATTCTGACCAGAATAAAATGGGCTAACTTAGTCAATCTGTCAACCACTACCCAAATAGAATCAAACTTTCCCAATGTCTTGGGAAGACCAACCACAAAATCCATAGCTATTCGTTCCCACTTCCATTTTGGAATTGGCATTCTCTGAAGCAAACCTGCGTGCCTTTGATGATCATACTTTACTTGTTGGCAATTTTGACACTTAGCCACAAACTCTGCTATATCTTTCTTTATGTCAGGCCACCAATAGATTCACTTCAAATCTCGGTACATCTTAGTCACACCCGGATGAATGGAATATCGCGAACCATGAGATTCTATCAACAATTCCTGAGTCAAGTCGCCCACTCTAGGAACACAAATCCTTCCTTTAAAACTAAGCACACCTTCCGCATCAAGAGTGGTTTCTTGTGCCTTACCAATCACAGTCTTCTTTCTAAGCTCATTCAAATTTTCATCCTCAAACTATTTGGCCTTGATCTCCTCAATGAACGTGGCCCTTACTTCAATGCTAGCTAACACCCCACCTTTCTCTGAGATGCCCAACTGCATGAACTTAGATTCCAAGGTTTGAATTTTCTTATCCATAGGTCGTTTGGATGCACTCAAGCAAGCTAAACTATCCATACTCACCGCTTTTCGACTTAGTGCATCCGCTACTACATTTGCCTTACCCAAATGATATTAGATGGTCATATCATAATCCTTGAGTAACTCCATCCACCTTCGTTGTCTCAAATTCAGATCCTTTTGAGTAAATACATGTTGTAGACTGCAATGATTAGTAAATACCTCACACTTAACACCATAAATATAATACCACCAAATCTTAAGAGCAAACACTACCGCTGCCAACTCTAAATCATGTGTTGGATAATCCCTCTCATGCACCTTCAACTGTCGCGATGCATAAACTATAACATTCTTATCTTGCATTAACACGGCACCCAAACCTGAATGTGAATCATCACAATAAACTATAAAATCTTTACCTTCCACCTGTAGTGCTAGAATAAGTGTTGTGGTCAATAGAGTCTTGAGCTTTTGGAAGCTCTCCTCGCATTTTTCAGTCCGTTCAAAAGGTACCTCTTTTTTGGTCAAATTTGTCAGATGTGTGGCAATAGAAGCGACGTTTTTCACAAACCGACGATAGTAGCTAGCGAGCCCCACAAAACTTCTAACTTCAGTCACAGAGTTAGGCCAAACCTAATTCTTAATCGCTTCAATCATTTGGGGATCTACCATTACCCCTTCTTTTGAAATTACATGCCCCAAAAAAGCAACTGAAGTCAACCAAAATTCACACTTAGAAAATTTCACATTCAACCTTTGTTTCCCAAGAACACCCAGAACAATACGAAGATGGTCGGCATGCTCTTCCTCACTTTTTGAATACACCAAAATATCATCAATAAAGACTATAACAAATGAGTCAAGAAATGGTTTGAACACACCATTCATTAAACTCATGAAAGCTGCAGGCGCATTTGTCAACCCAAAGGACATAACTAGAAACTCATAGTGCCCATAGCGGGTTCTAAACGTCGTCTTGGGCACATCCTCAGGCCTAATATTTAACTGATGGTAACTAGACCTTAGATCAATCTTAGAGAAAACTGATGCACCTTGCAATTGGTCAAAAAGATCATATATCCTAGGCAATGGGTACTTGTTTCGAATGGTGACCCTATTCAATTGCCGGTAATCTATACACATCCTCATACTACCATCTTTTTTATTAACAAACAATACAGGAGCACCCCACGAGGAAGCACTAGGATGAATGAATCCTTTATCAAGAAGTTCTTAGATTTGAGCCTTAAGCTCTCTTAATTCTTTCAGAGCCATGCGATAGAGAGGGACATAAATGGGGTGGATATCAGGTTCTAAATCAATGCAGAAATCTATATCTGTCCGGATGCATACCAGGCAAATCAGTAGGAAACACTTCTCTAAATTCTGACACCACAGGAATAGACTCAATAGAGGGGGATTCAACCTTAACATCCCGAATATGATCCAAATAAGCCAAACAACCCTGCACTACTAGTTTCCTATCCTGAATGGAGGATATGATCTTAGCTTACTTAGGCTTATATACCCCTTCCCACTCTAACTTTTCCCTTCCCGAAATTTCTAGAGTCACAAACTAGTATTACAATTAGGACAAACACGATAGACATGTATGACTATGACAGACTCTCCAGTTGGGGTATAAACATGGATGGAGGGCATCAAGTATATCGCAAATCATAGCAAATTCTGAGGCAAATCGCACGGACACATAAGAATAAGTAGAACCCGGATCAAATAACACATTAGCCATCCGGTTACAGACAAGAATAGTACTTGTGATCACGGCGTCATACGCCTCTGCCTCGGTCTTGCCCGGAAAGGCATAACACTGAGCCATGTTATCATGACGGGCGACTTCCCTGCCTGGCTGCACTGTACCCATGCCTGCGTTACCATTTCCCCTACCTCCACGGCCTCACTGATTTTTTCCTCGCCCACATTGTGGTCGCCCTCGACCATTATTACCATTTCCCGCGGGTACCATTGCTCTCGTCTGCTGTTGTGCGGAATCTATCATGTGCGGGTGGGGACAATCTCTCCTCATATGCCCAGGTTTTCCACAATTATAACAAGTGCGATCAAAAGATGGTCTGCTACCCGCTGAAGGTGCGGCTCCCTGGCTATCCTGAATCAAATTTTGAGGTGGAGTCCCTGAGTAATTACCTGTAGAAGTGGGCATAGCAGACTTTATTGGCCGAGCTGCAAGTATCGGCCTCCCTGAACCTCTGGAGTAAGAACCCTGAAAGTTGCCTGAATTATTGGCTTTCTTTGCCTGACTGTCTCGCCTCACCCCTCTGTTTTCTTCACAAAACTTGTTACCTCATTGAAGCTTTTTCCTGCAGTGGTCATATGAACATACAATACTTGCAATTCAGAATTTAGTCCCTTAACAAATAGGCGGATCCTCTCTTTCTCAGTAGTCACCAATTACGTAGCATATCTAGACAAAGCATGGAACTTAGCCTCATAAGCAGCCACAGTCATACCACCTTGTTCCAAAGCCATGAACTCATCTTTTTTACGATCTCTCAAAGTCTGGGGCACATACTTCTCGAAGAACAAAGCATGAAACTGGGTCCAAGTAAGTGGGGGTAAAATTGAAGGTTTGCATTCCACATAAGCTCTCCACCACTGCTTAGCCTTACCTTGAAGTTGAAAAGTCACGAACTCCATGCCATGTTGATGGACAATTCCCAACTTATGAAGCCTCTCATAACAATCTAGGATGAACTCATATGCTTCATCACTCTCAGAACCATGGAACACAGGCGGTTTCAATTTCAAGAACTTAGTCAACATCTCATGCTTATTACCAGTCATAGCAGGACCCAACAAAGGATGGAAGAAAACATCATTACCTACAGTTCCACCCACCTTGGGGATAGTGATAGCAATAGGGGGATTGGTGGGAGCTTGAGTTTCTTGAACAGAGGGAAGTACTCCAGGACCAACCAATTCTTTTAAGAACGACATAATCTGTTGAGCTAACACTGGGTCTAAGGGATGAATACCTGTAGTCTCAGCCTGTACCTCTTCCACTTGTCTAACATTCTCTTCCTCCTCAACTTCTCCATTCTCTTCGATCTCTTCATGATGCGCAAGAGAGATCTCATTTATGGGAGCATTCTCAACTGGAGCTCCATCCTAGTAGGTGCTACCCTTCCTCGGCCTCTCCCCCTTGCTCTTCCTCTACCCCTGCCTCGACCGCGACCTTTTGCTGCAGATTCTTCAATTGGCGCATTGACGGGAGCTACGGGCCTGATGTCGTTGAACCTAGTGTTAACCATCTGCGGACAGAAGAGTTAAGGAGATTAGATACCAATTTGAATCGCCAGATACCAATTGAAATCAAGTTATAGCACGAAAGAAGGCAAGAGAAAACAGAGAATATAATAATTTTATTATTATTATAAACTTATCAGGGACTAAGAACACAAAGAATCTCTTACTTCTATTCTTATGTTTGCACACTAAAAATTACAGTTGACAAAGCAAACTTTAGCCTTCCGATTACTTGAAAATTTTGATTGGCATCAACTTAATTCTTTAAAGAGTTTATGTTATCTTATTGTAATATTGTTTTATATTGATATATAAGTTTTATTTGTATTGTAGTTAATTTAAATTTTATATAAAATATAGTTATTTCATATGCAATTGTGCATATTTAGACATTGAAAGCAAACAAACTTAATTATTTAGTGTTCAGATTCATAGACTACGTCTTAATATTCAAATGTACATTCAAATTCGGACATTTAGATCTTAATGTACATTTTAATATTCAGATATGTATTCAGATTCATACAACTTAATCCCAATGAAAATAAATGAGGCTGTAATGTGTCAAGTTAGCGAAACGTATCGAAATGAGTATTTAAAATGTACAAAATTTACTTCAGGTGTCTAAATGAAAAGTCATGCTTCAATTTTATTACTCCATTGGTTTCAATTTTTATGATTCACTTTTCTTTTTGGTCAATTCAAAAAAGAGTAACGCATTTGTTATATTTAGTTATAATTCAACTATAAAATGTTCATTTTTATCCTTAATGAAATAATTTATAATCACACAAATATTTATAGTTTATTTTAGACCATAATTTTTTGTATACCTCATAACAAATCAAACTAAGAGCCTATTTGACATTGTTGTTGGGAGACTAAAAGTGTTTTTTTTAGAATTTTTTTTTAAAAAAAATCCAGTGTTTGACAAATCCTTAAAACTGCTTTTACATAGAAGTAGAAATAGTTTTTCTGTTGATAAGAAGAAACTAAAAAATTCTGCTTATTAAGAAAAGCAGAAGCATGAAATTATTTTTCTGAAGTCTAAAATATCCCTTTCATATATTTATATTTACCAGTATATCCCTTATTAATTAATTAGCATATCTCATAAGTTTGCTCAAGTTTCATTCAAGTTTTTTTTTTTATATATATAATTATTTTATTTTATGTTTATATATTATTATTTTATATTTTATATATTATATATTATTTTACTTTTTATTTTACAAAATTAGAAATAAAGGTAATAACAATATTTTTGCAGAATTAAAAATATGAACGACTTTATTTGTTTATGGTAAAAAAAAAATTATGTAGTGATTTAATTCGCGGAATGGTTTTTGAATTTATTTTGCTTGCTATATTTTTAATTATATTAAAATCATCATGTTAATATTGTATTAATATTTTATTTTATTTATGTATAATATTGATTGAAAATTTCAATATATGCATTTTAATTAAATTTTTTGAAATAGATATTTAAAATGATTTCTCTCTATATAATAATCTTAATATTAAAAGTACATTAATACTTACCCCTTTTTTTGTAATTTGGCTTTCAAAAACACTTTTTTTTTAAAATTAGTCAAACACACTTTTCAAATGAATTAACTAAACACAAATTATTATTTAAATTTCAAAAGCAGTTTTTTTAAAAAGAAAATCATTTTTAAAAAAGTCATTCTAAAAATAAGCAGTTTTTAGCAACAATGTCAAACATGTTCTAACGTATATAATGAAAGAACTATAGTGTATGGGGTCGTTTGGTAGAGTGTATTAGTAAAAATAATGTGTGCGTTAACTTTGTGTATTAATAGTACCTTGTTTGGTACACTTTTTCATACCATGTATAACTAATGTTTACATTATTTATATACTCTATTGTGTATTAAATGGTGCATTACTAATACCATGGATTTCTAGGTATTAGTAATACAAAGGGTTTTAACACTTTCATTAAATTTACTAATGACAAAACTATCTTCAAAGCTTTCTCAAAACATTTCCCAATACTTTTCCACCGTAAACTGATATTATTCTCAAAAGGTAAAATTGTGCCAACAATATATGCACAAATTGCAGTTAAAAATAGATAGATTACTGCAAATATTAGATTTTTGATACGGAGAGTTTTTGTTTTGATAAAATATTTTTGAAAATTAAAAAAATGTAGCTGCTCCACATTGTACTTCAAAGTCTAAACACAATTGACAAAAGGTGCTATGAAGGGGCAAAATACAATAGAACAAATACACGTACTATTACTTCTAGGGACGAGTTACTTAAAAATGGATACTGAGAACGTAATTTGAAACAACTAGTTTGCTTGATTTTGTGATTTGAATTCGTAATTTATACGTATTATATGGGACTTTGTCATTGCTCGAATGCTCTGCTCCTTTCAATGCCAATATGTGGTACAAACATAAAAAATAACAATAAATTAGTATCACATGTTAGAAACTCAAAATATGGTTCTATTCCTAAAAAACATGAAGATGGACAATAAGTTTGATTAAAAAAAAAAACTCTTTGTCACCTTTCCTCAAAAACATTTTGAAATATTAACAACTATTTAATTTATTTTTAGAAAAAAAAAGAGTTAATGATGTTTTAGCAAATAATTCTGATGTGATATTTTATTAAAGAATCTTGTTGTAATGAAAGTGTACAAAACGAAAAAGTGTGAATGATATTTTTGTAAATAAATATTTTTTTAATAAAAAATATACCATGCTTATTATTTCTAATCTATCAAACCAAACAATATATAAAAAATAATATAACCATTACTAATATGTCATATTTAGTAGAGTATTTTTCTTACACACTCTACCAAATAAGCCGGTATGTATTTGTGTTTTTGATGGTATGTTTAGTGAAAAGTCAAAACCCCAAATTTTTCCTTGAAAACCCTTAGCGTCGTCGTTTTTAACTCCTATCTATAGTGGACACTGGACAGGTTGAGTTGTAACAGAGAAAGAGGAAGAAATGGGAGGAGGAGAAGAAGATCAACAGAAATTGAAGAACACAGCAGCAGCAGCGTATGACTACGAGAATGATCCAAGATGGGCAGATTATTGGTCAAATATACTCATTCCTCCTCACATGGCTTCCCGTTCTGATGTCGTCGACCATTTCAAGCGCAAGTTTTATCAACGATACATAGTCAGTATTTGCCCACCTTAACTATTTTGGGATTTCGGTCCAACTTGATAATTGTTCGTTGCTATATTCGAAATCATTCGACTTCAGATGGGGTTTACTGCCAACTTTCTTTACTACATGTCTTTTAATTAATATGTCAATCTCGAATACTGTTGTTTATACTTTGTTGGGACTTGGCACTCCAGTTTTTATATTTTGAAGCCTTGCTCTTAGTTCTAAATTTTTCTTGATTCAATTTAACCAAAGGGTTTTTGGAAAATATTGGGTTTTGGGTAAATTGTTTAGGTATTCAGTGGCTTATAGGTCATTCCAAGTTGAGGGGTTCATTGATTATTTGTTAAAATGTGTGCTATGGATGAGTTTAATGGTATTAGCTTGTAACTCCGAGTTGATTGTATACAAATTTCAGGGACTTTTACTCTCTGCACTGAAAATATCTGTAAAATTTTCCAAATATTGCACCTCTTTTCTTTGTGGAATGGATTGTTTAAGTATGTCATTCTTCAAAATGAAGATGAGTTTTTAAGGCCTTTTGTTTAGAAAAAAGAGTCCTTTAGTTTTGTCAAAAACTCTATTTTTTTTTGGTTTTCCACCCGGTACACAAAAAAATAAATAATAAAGTCTACTTAACTGTAAGTTGTTGCACTACTTTCTTTTTCCTAGCACTTCCTGATGTGGTGTGTCATGAAATTCATGCAGGTTTTCTTATCATGTGGGATCTTTTTCCTAATATTATACTTTAACTCCATTGTCATCCTCGTTGTCCTTATCTTTTACTATTGACCAAGCTTATTCTCGTCTTATTTCTTACTTTTATTGTATCCTTAAGTACATGGAGTTCCAGAGATTTTGGCTTTTTAAAATTTCAGAGGAGAATTTCAACTCTGCTTTTCCCCTCCTCTCCAGCTTCTACTTTCTTTTTCTCTTTTTCTCACTTGTGTTATATATCTTTGCCTTCAACATTTTTGTCACTTATCCTGAGGTATAGTACTGTCTTTTCTTTTGGATAATTTAATGGCTTAGATATTTAGTTGTCTATTGATTGAGATTATTGTTGGATGTATACCTTATTTCACCCGATTAATTACCTCATCTCCCTTTTCTTGGGGGAACAGATGAAAGTCAGAAGGGAGGCTCCTAATCATGTCATATAATAGTGTGTGAATACTCCTAGGCTCCTAGCAATGTAGACTGATACCAAAATGAGATTTTTAATACACAATAATGATAAGAGTGGGGAGTCAGTTCAAGTTCTTGAAGTAGCAGTTCTGCAATTTTGATGAATCCTTGAGCTTTGTTGTACTTAAAATACCATTTCAGATATCTGCAGTGGGACACATCTTTACATTCTTAGGTTGATCTTGGGAGATTGCTTTGGTTTGTTTGATTTTATATCCATTATTTTCAGGACCCTGGTCTAGTGGTTGAGCCAATGACTACCAGCAGTTCGTCCCAACCAGCAAAGCCATCAGCTGCACAACCATCATCATCATCATCGTCCACACCTTCTAATAACCAGCCAAGACAGCGTAACTCTGGTATGATTTTTTTTGAATTTCGACTAAATGGAATGTGCCCTTCCTTCTGGAGAAATTATTCACTTCAGATATAAACCTTTGGTTCATTTTAATGCAATTTATATAATTTTTCTTGTGTAGGTCAAGCTAGTAGAACTTCGGGCACGTCAACAACCCCAACTTCAAATCCGACATCACTTCGATGGGACCGAAAAACTATACAATTTTCAGTGAATGCTTGGGTACTGTATATTCACACGTACACTAGAGATGGGAAACATGTGGACATTTTCTTTATAACTTAAACACAATAATATTGTAGAAAATCATGTTTGAGTTAGAATATTGAAGTTTTTGATACACCGTAGAAGATCAAATGGTCAACTTATTATTATTAGCAGTAAGGGAAAGGTGGAGTATATACAACAAGGATAGAATCTTTATGCCTTTAAACTAATATATCTCGTGTACCTACATATGCCAACTTTTTTGTACTTGTGGATGCCCTCTTTATGAGTATGGGTGTGTCTATGGAAAATTTCAGTATAGAATTATTTCTTCCCAAGGATCTTCTACAGCCTTGTTTTCAATTTATTTGTTATTTGAAATCTGTAGGCAGGGTCATAAAATTGAAAAAGAAAAACAGAAAGATTGTGAGGAAGAGTTGATTTTAGTATCAATTAGAGACAACTTTGCATCATAGCCTTTTATTTCTTGAGGTCGCCGAGATATCAAGAATAAAGTAATGGTTTAAGTTATTCTAGTGACTAGATGTCTAGATCTATGAAATAAACTAGACTCATGTACATGTCTGTGTCAGATTTGTTTACTTTAGCCTCATTCGTTGGTTATTCTAGATGTCATGGTGCATTAATTCTTTCTGCACTCCACCCTCACCCCCTCCAAAAAAGTGTCTTTTGTGGTCTGTTGCATAAGTTGGACACATGTCATAGAAATTCTATGCTAAGACCTCTCGGAAACTTGTGAGTCAAGGTTTATTGAAGCTCCTATCACCATTTTGCTTCTCTAAGGCTGAGTTTTCATTATCATGTCTTCGTGTTTCCTGGTATATTCTCTTTTGCCTTTGAACTGAAGTTTGGGACACACTGAACAAGATATTGATGATTGGATTTGACACTGTTGCATTGGTATTACTACAAAAAATAGTTAGAGAGTTCTTAAATTGCTTATTTTAATGAAGTAGTTCTGAAATTGCTTTCTGGTATCTTCCTGCAGGTTTTTGTTGTTGCAGTTCTCTCAATATTTCCGCTTACACCTGCAAATCTGTCAAACAGAGCATACCGACTGTCCTTCTTGGGAACTGCATGTTCTTCGCTATATTCATTATACTCAGTATATGGGGTAAGTTTTTTTAAAAGAATTATTTTGTTGAACTACATATGTGGGATCAGTTTTATGTCCTTTGGGCTAATGAGGCTATTTCTGATCTGGTAACTTTTTGTAGAAACCGAGGGCTTGGAATTTACAAGCAGTGCAAGTTTGGTTGCAGTCAGTTATTGTGACGAAGGATTTCATCTCCTTCCTTTACTGTCTCACTTTTGTCACTTCCCATCTTTACCTGAAATGTAAGCTATGCTCCAGTTCGTGTTTTTTCTTTTGATGCTATATTCTTCTTAGAGTATAGCAGCTGTGTAACTTCATTTAATAATTTGTTCATGACCAATGATATGCAGTTTCTTTGATTCCTGTTATATGCCGATCACTTGACCATGTTGGTAAATTTCTTCGACGTAACTTCAGCAGATCTTCTTTGTACAGGTATAAAGCTGTTTTGTTGTGTTACCACTTACCAAAGAAATTAAAAAGCTGTTTTTCTTGAAATTGTTAGTCAGATCAAATAATCATTTGAAATCAACCCACATTCCTGATTAGGAGAAAAGCAGTACAACAATCCTATTAAATAATCAAATAACTGTAGTACAGGAATCTTTATGTTTCAAACGAATCTGTGATATAGGTTTCTGTAACAGCTCATTCTTACTGCTAATATGGATTAATGAAATGTGTCTGATGTATTATGAATAAAACTAAATTGTAGCTGACCTGCAATTGTGATTGCACAAAAAAAATTTGTATATCATCTCTTCTTGAAGTTCTCATCTATGTGAACCTTCTAGTTGTATATGACCTTTTCCCTTCCTGTCAAAACATTGAAAGCTTTGTACATTTGTGATTATATGTAAATGCCATCTGGTGAATGTTATTATTTGATACCCCTTCCCTGCTCATTTCTTATTGATGGTACGTTGGGTGTTTCAGAGTTATTTCATGTCTGTACTTGTTGACCACCTACAGGAAGTACTTGGAAGAGGCTTGCGTATGGGTCGAGTCAAACGTAACTACTCTCAACATACTGTCTTCACAGGCTGAAATTGGACTGGGATTTCTTCTGGTTGTCTCTCTATTATCGTAAGTGTCAACTTATTCCTGGCCCTTACTGGTGCTTGTTATCTTGCTTGACGTTCTTATTTTAGTTTTTATATGCATCTTAACTGTTCATGTTCATGAAATTTCAGGTGGCAGCGTAATATTATACAAACATTCATGTATTGGCAGGTTTGTCTTTTACTTTCATTTTCATTCTTTTATCATTGGCATCTTTGCCTTTTATATATGATCTATTTCTTTGATTGAAACAAGCGATTAAAATTTTGAGAGCATGTTGTTTCTTTTTTCTGTCTCTGTTTCCGTGTTGTTTAATGGAAACATTTGTTGTTGGAATTGACATTTGGTTCAGCACATAGTTGGATGCATGTAGTTGATTAGGGTTAGGTATGCACCTATTTATTCCAATGACCGCACCTCATTTGCCACCCCGCATACTTTGATAGCATCATGATTCAGAATTTTCAGTTGATGAAATAATAGCAGTTATAGTTTCTTAAATCTTGTCCTTTTTCCTTGGTCCGGTACATGTTACCTTAGGCAGCTTCAATATCCAACTATTCCCATTTGTCAAGATATTTTGTTATAATGACTAGTATGCAACTCTTCGCAGATATTGAAGCTTATGTATCATGCTCCTGCTACTGCTGGTTACCATCAGAGTGTGTGGGCTAAGATCGGAGGGCTTGTAAATCCAGTTGTTCAACATTATGTCCCGTTCTTGAATACTCCTATTTCAACTATTCAGAGATGGTGGTTCAGGTAGAAGACTTGCTGAAAGATATACAAGAGTTTTAGGGGCAGAAAATACTTTTTTGGGATAATACTTTGTCCTGAAGGTCGACTATAAAGCTAGAATTGTCTAATTAATATTCCTAATAATTGCCTGTGGGAGTTACTTCCAAGTTTTCCCCTTTTTGGGATGTGATTTTTCCTCTGTTTTAACTGCTTTATTTTGTAAACCAAAATTGTCCAAGAACTGTTGTTTTAGTATCAACTAATCACACTTCTATTCCTCTTGCATGTTTCGATTTTTGATCCCTATTCCTATGTTGTCCCATGAATGGTGATCCTTTGATTCGTCGATAAAGTTATGCTGGGATTATAATCCATGTATTGTCTAAATGTATATGACCTGCATATACTTCTTTAGTGTCTACCTCCTCTGATGTAAATGTAAGGTTTGCTATACTCTACCCTCTCATGACCGGATTATACTGGATATGTTGTTGTTGTATACTTTTTAGATGAATATTTGGTTCATAACTAAAGACGTGTATTTGGTTTTAAGTTTGGATAGGGTTTTGTTTGCTATCTCACCATTTATCTATAAAGTATATAAAATTATAAGGAAAGATAATGATCTTTTAGTTGTGTTATCCAAGTGTTGCTAGTGTTAAATTTTCATAATGTATAGGTCATTGTGCTTTGAGGTGTTTATGGTTTGATTAAAAAAGGACCAAAAATGAAAAATCAAACCAACCGATAGTTATTTGGGTTTGGTTTTGGATTTAAAATTTTGATAATATTTTATTTGGTTTTATATAAAAAAAAAAATCAAACCAAATTGATAAATTGTATACACATATTTTAGAATATTATATAGCTATAATTAATTTTAAATATTTTAATTACTTTTCATAATTTTTTTATTTATAATAGACTAATGAACTTTATACGTTTCAACCTATTTCTTAAAAGAAATTTATGAATTCAAATTTGTTTAGTAAAGAAATAACTAGTATAAGATTTATCTAAAAAAATTTATATATTATTCACTTAATTACAACTTAAAGATCTTGAGAGATTTCTCCCTAATCCAAGAGAACTATGGCTCCTAGTCTCCTATAATAAAAGGGTAATAATGGATAATTGGAAAGCATAAAATAGATTTTCCTAATCGTAGAGAGGGGCGAGGGGACCGAAAGAGAGAAATATATATTTTATATTTTAAAAAACTAAACAAATGGGCAGTAACCAAATCAATAAATATGTGTTATATTTTATTTGGATTGATTCTAATAGTTTAAAATTTTTGATTAAATTAATTTAATTTTGATTTTGATTTTAATAAAAAATCAACTTAAAACCGACCCATAAGCACTCCTAATTGTAGTACCAAACAATTTTGGTATCACATATATCTAAAACAAAATTAATTTAAATGTGTGGATAAAATAATTTTGAATTTTATACCTGATTAATTACAACAATTTATTCTATCGTTGAAATTACAACATGATATATAGTAAAAGGATATTAATCAAGAACAAAAAATAATTTGCATGTCAATTGATCTGGTTTACTGATGGGTGTGTTTTCACATGAGAAAATACTTTATTTCAAATTTCTTTGGTGTAAAAATAAAGATTACTCAATAAAAATGTAATATAATTATAAATAATTATAGCTTCGGAGGATTCAGATCTCTTGATCACTATGAAATTAATAAAAAAAAAAAAAATCATTTTTGGATCTCTTATTGCCAAAATGTACCCGGCCACCGTCACCCCATCTTACATTCATAATATTTTGCTAGATTACATATAAATATTTTTGAGATAATATTTTATTTATAAACTTACCAAATACTAGATCATTTAATTTATAAAAATGATCATTCATAATTTACCGCATTCACCATAGAGGTTAATTAACCGCTCTGCACTTGGTTTTTTTCCTACTCTTTTTCAGTTTGTGCGTTTGACAATGATGTCTCTGCATATTCATCTTGCTTCCCTGCTTTTACTATTATCACCACTTCCCCAAATACTTTCAGGTATCACTTTGTATTATATATGTAAGTGAAAATATTTGACACATATTGTTGGATTTTTGAGAAGTATAGGTTAAAATAATAACGTGGAACAAAGGAAAGCTAGTAGTATTTATTTGTTATGATATAGATTTAACTTATATACACTCACATGACAGAGTGAAGATTTACTAATTAGTAAGATATAAAGCGAGTTTTTCTGCGATTAACATATATTGAAGTGTTCCTGTGCCACAAGTTATATTACATCAAGGGTGGAGATAGAAGCTCAGGTATGGGTTCGGCAGAACGCAATAATTTGTGTTCAAACAGTGTATTTGTGTAAAGAAATTCATTAAATATGTGTTAACACATAAAAATCATCGTTTTAACATCCACAACTCATAAAGTTGAATACATTGATAGTGTAATCTTTTTGGAGAGCATTTGAAATAGTTTTACATTGTTTTCCTCCTTTTTGTCATTTGATCTTGCTGTTGAATTTTGTCCTCATTGTAATCTTAGATGCATCAAACATAGCTCGCAAAAAAAAAAATGCTTTTAATACGAGAGATTGAATCATTCAACGTTCTAAAACCTCGTGAATTCTTACATTTGTTTTCTTTAGGTCAAGAATCTTTCAAGAAAGCTGCATATAAGCTCAGTAAGCCACTGATCAGTGATGATGGGAAGGTTTATTTGTGTTCAGAAAAGAACTTTTTTGCCTTTGAAAGCAATGGTTCTGTCGCGTGGACGTTATCTCTCAGTTACAAATGCAGTCCAAGTATAGCTCCAGTTCAAGGAGAATCACGAAAGGCAAGGCTTCACTTTAAAACTGACTTACACTCTTATGTTGAATTAGTGAATCTGATAAAATGGTTTTATGGACTGTCATATGAGCAATTAGACTTTGACATATTAATCATGTGAACTGTGAAGTGTATAATACTTTAAACAAATAAGTTATACGAAATGTTATGTATAAGCAAATGATCTGTTAGGCCTGTATAAGTTTTCTATAAAAATGCTATTATACTGTTTGTTTCTCCCTCTCGGGATGAGGCAAAGAGTGGATGTCATGCCTGTAAGTTTCAACATTCCTCTATTCTGGAGTTGTTAACCTCAGACTTTGGCAATGTCTGTATGAAAATGCATATAAGCCTCTTATTGTTGTTAACTCATTTCGATCAGACTGTTTTGGTCATTATTTGTTAAACTTTTTCATTGATGTACCCTTGTTTGTTCAATTAGTTGGTATTATTTCTTTTAGTAGTTGTGTTTGGTTTTTAATTATGCAAAGCTACTTTTGGTAGATATATGTGATTGCAGAAGACAGAGTGCTGAAGATCAACCCGTTGAACGTAGGAAGTTCTGAATTAGCTGTAGAATTATTCTTTGGTTCGGAATATGAAAGACTAGGGGATATTATTGGCCTTGCAGTAAGTATATCCAGTTCCTGTGTACTTATCAATGTCAAAAACCGGGGTCTCTTTGCTTACCGGTTGCAAGGAAAGCTGTACTGGAGTGTTGGCCCGTTGCTTTATCAGCATGGATATCGTCAAGGTTGTAGGAAAAATATCACAGAATGTTATTTTTCCTCAGTCCCCGTGTTCGATCACTGTGAAGCTAGCATATATGTAAGGTTTTCGTGTTCCATGCTTTTAAACTTGTTCTTTGCACTAGGCTCTATCTCTGCATTTTCAAAACCGTTTTTCTTTTCAACTGCAGATTTCTAACAATCAAGGAGAAATTTATTCTTTGTCAACTCGTAGTCCACATTTTAAATGGATACAAGATTTCAGTTCATTCGGAAGTACACTTACCATGAAAGCTGGGAACAACGGTCTGTTGTATGTTACTGTAGCAGCTAAAGCTCTGATACTAGCAGTTGATGTTTCCAGGGGAAGCATTTTGTGGCAGAAAAGCTTTGGACAGCTAAGTATGGGAGATTATGCCCCTGCTGTTGATTCTAATGGTAATATTAGTCCTTACCATATATCACGAACTTCTACTTGAATCGAGCGTTCAAAGGTATTCATGTTTATGTCAAATTCAATTCCAGGTTGGATATCTATTGGTTCATTGGACGGATACCTCTATTCGTTTTCACCAAAAGGAGTTCTCAAAAAGTTCCCTAAAGTGCTTAACATGGATTCTGTTATCCAAGTCAGTCCTGTTCTTGATTGCTCAGGATATGCAATCTATGTTTCTCAGACACAGATTGAAGGAAAGATTACTCAGATAATTGGAGATTACACTTACATCTCCGCGATGAAATCAAAGGGTGTTATCTTCACACTGATTAATCCAGCTACTGGGATCATCTTTTGGTCTGAACAATATCCTGGTATCTACCCTCCGTCCTTCCCCCTAGGCCCGAATCGATAAATCTAGTACTCTGCAGCACTCTAACATCCATTATTTTTTATTGCATCAGGCCTATTCTCCTCAGAATTTTTGAGAAGTGACCTGCAACATTTTCTCCTGGATGAAAGTGTCCTCCTCACCTTTTTTGCAGCTTCAAGTGAGTTTCTTCACAATAATGGATGTTCTGTATTTTCATTGGACACATGATGACTCGAAAGGACTCAAATATTTCATATGATTGATTAAATAAATTTCCATTTCTGGAGTTACACGTAGAATCCTAAAGAGAATTCCATCTGCAATTCATTTGTGCTTAATGTATATCTAATGGAGATGGATTTCTGTGCAGGTACTGGGAACCGGCTGCCATGCCGAAGCTCACGTAAAATTCTGTACCTTTAAATTTTTTATCTTAGATTGTAGCTAGACAATCACGAGAAATTCCTAGCATCGTCTCGTGTCAGATGTCACATAATTCTTTTGCATCAGGTCAGAAGTTTGCATTAAGCTGCTCACAGATTACACCCGAAAATTTCAGCACCTACACAGGTAACATCCTACATTTGTGTAGTGATATAGATAACCAATTGATGTACCAGAATAATTCCCTTCGTTTCTTCAGGGAACAAGAAGACAATTTTGCTGTTTCTGATCTTTGAATCTCTCATATTGCTAGTACTAGCAATAACAGTAAGATTTTGCTGCATGTTTTGGAAGAAAAAGAAGCTGCAAAATCAACATCTTGGGAAATTCTTAGATAAAAGAGTAAGCTGAGCTATATTCCCACTCTCTTTTCACCTTTATGTCTTTTTCTTATATGAAATCTGATATTTAAGCTGGAAGCCACATTTTATGGATTCAGCTTCTCTCTATGTGCTTCCCCACAAGTTCCTTATATACTGTACGAAGTATCTTAATTTTACCCTTCGTTATGCTTTGGAGTCATTCATACTCTAGCAGTCAACAAATTTTCTCGTATTGTACCTTGGCTTTAGCGGAGCTCAGCTCTGGTCTAAAGTTACCTCTATTATACTTCATGTTGGAGCTCCATTGGGGTCAAGGACAAATACGAGACGATTTGTTGACAACAAGAGTAGGAATGACCTCAACATATAATGGAGAGCAAAAGTAAAGTATTTTGTATAGTAAAAAGGTATTTCTGTCCTTTTTCCCTTTCGTTTGTTCTGTTACTCCACCTTCTAGCAAAACACTGAAACTGAACTTGTCTTTTTCTTTTGGGCCCAATGTTTCAGCGATCACTTCAACTTCAGAAGAAAGTTTTTGATAGATCAATCACAGAGCTTCAGCAAAAGGCTGCTGAGGATGCAATAGCTAATGAGGTGCTGGAAAAGTTGGGCAATCTAGTTAAACAAAGGGAAAACATTGAGAGGAAGCTCTCAACATCATACAGTTTGGGAAGGGATGAAATTGGTCCTCGTTCACCATCTCTCCTTCCCTTGTCTGATCATAAAACAAGGAGTTTCTCATTTCAAGGAGCAAAGAAAGAGAGTGTTACTTTGTTTCACACAGTCAGTGATACTTCTTCTGAAACTAGCTGGAGCGAAAGGGACTCTGACACGAACATATCGGAGGATGAAGAGGAAACAGACAAGGGAAAGTCACCTATTGAAATATTCAGTAGCAGTGATGATGAGATTTACCAAGAAGAATATCAGTCTAGTACTCCATCTTTCTTTGCTTCCACTTCGCGACAGGTTACTGAAATAGAAGAAATGAAGCCAGGAGATCAAAAGGACTCCGTTGATCATCCCTTACAGAACCGCAGCACAAGCATAAGGAAGAGGAATTCATATTCAAGTAGCTAGTATTGCATTATGTGTGTTAGTTATCCAACTGTACCTTTGTCCAACTTTACTCCACTACTGATGCCTAACTGGATAAAAAGCATTCTATTTTAATGGAATTCCACAATTGCATTAACTTTAGTTAATTGACAAGTTTCAATAGCAGAAGCTTAGATGATCACTCAACGTTGTTAAGGAAGAGTTCATCTGGTGTAGCTAGATAACACATATTTTACATTCCATGTCCTATAAGCGTGTAAAATCAGAATAGTACATGCATACAGATAATAATGTCATTTCTCAAGCCAAGACAATATTTCATTATTCATAAACAGCATTACGGTATAAACTGCATCTTGTATTCATTGTAAGATTGAAGAATAAGGAGTAAAAAGGTTACCTTTTTAACAAATACATATGAGTGCGTTGTGCTTAAGTGATGAAAGTGTATAAAAAGACTTGTGCATTGACTTGAGTAAACAATAGGTTATCTAATTCTCATCGTAGCAGTTGGATTAACTTACATATACTCGGTGTTTACATCAAATTTACCATAATTAAGTGATAAATTAATGTAAAAAAAAAAAAGACATGTTCCATTGATTTAGTTTGAACATTAGATGCTAGAAAATAAGTTCTATTTCAGAGGTAAAAAAGAAGAAGAAATAATGAAAGAAGAAGAAATAATGGCATCTAGACATGTTTCCAGTCGCATGATATAATGTCAAATCCTTCAGGTATATATTCATATTAAGCTCTTTAATGATTCTTTTTTAGTTGATCGTTATGGTATTACATTATATTATATCTTCTAAATATTCTTGTTATATTAGATAAGTGAATGATTTCGTGAAAAATAGACAGTACGCTATTCTTATCTAATCTTATGGAGAAACATAAAATATGTTCAACCGTTATCCCAATAGGAATATCTCAGTGATCAAAAGATTATTATAATTCAAAATGTGTTATTATGAGTTGATATTCCAAAGACCATCTCCCTTGTTATGTTTAAGAAAATAACGGAACAGTTAGGCAGTGTCAATGACAGGTCTAGCTTGTGTTTCATTGTTTCGTTTCGATATAAATGTGTGAGAATTGAGATAACTGCTCTGCATCTAACTCTTTCCTTTTAACCTTTTGTGAAATAAATGTAGGCATGCAATGACTTGGGAGATGTAAATGGACAAAGAGTGTGTCTAGCTGAAAGATCAAGAACTGGAATGACTGAATTGTATTTCGCGTTTATAACAGTCAGTATAGAGTTGTCTGTAGTGTTTTGTTGATGAATATTTTGGGGCCACGTCTTGTCAAAGTTCATCTCTACCATATCTAATACTAAGTGCAGATTCTTAAAGTTAACTGGTTGAATCAGCTTCTTCTTTTTAACCAAGTTCTATCAAAATGTACCTTGTGGTCGCGTCTTGAATTATACTATGAAGGTGGAGACCCCGTTTGGAAGTGATAGATGAATTGTTTTAGCCATTGCATAATCTACCACACTTGTAGACATTGGTTATATTATTGAGCAGATCAAGGACTATTTGGCTGTGCAATGGAAATAGGAGCAACAACATTGATCCATACATTAACAACCTCAATTAAGGTTTAACTTCATTTTCACGCGAATCAGTATGAGCTATGAAACACCATGTGGCTGCACTAATAAACGTCAATAATTAAACGAGGGTTCTCTGATATATTCCACAAGTTTTCTCAATACAATATATACATGTTCATTGAATCAAAAGCAGAGAGAATTTAATAGCTAAGAAGCCTGCAAATGCAGCAAGGATGTGAGGAAATTACAAAGTTGCATATATACATTTAATGAAAGCAATCTTGTATGGTAGGGGATAGCAGATACCGGTGGAATAGTTGAGGTGTGCACCTTATAATTGTTGTTGCATCCTTAAATACTCACCATAGAAGCGAGCGCCACTTTCTTCTTGACTAGCATCGTAGGCATAACCTCCGTGACAAGAGATATCAAGACCAGCAACCTCCTCGTCCGATGATATCCTCAAAATTCCAAGTTTCTGAAGTAGATAAAACAAAGGCCCCATTGTCAAACTTACCCAAACCACAATACTCAATAGTTCAACTATTTGTGCCCCAAACAAACCCCATCCACCTCCTAAAATCAGCCCGGAAGGTCGTATAATTTGTGTTTTACCGGAATTGTAAGCTTGCAACACAAATTCTTCTTTAGCAAACAACCCTGTAAATATCAAACCCCAAGCTCCACACCCTCCATGCAACTGTGCTGCTTCTAACGGATCATCGAATTTGAATTTAAGCGCTAAAATGTTCAATCCAATCAGTACCCAAGCTGCACAGAACCCACACACAATTGCAGCCCATGGTTCTACCACTGAACAACCTGAAGTGATTGCAACAAACCCACCAAGAACTCCATTACAAACATCCATTGCATCCCAATGTCCCACCAATAACCTTCGCCCAAACAAGGTAACAATCCCCGCGGTGGAACCAGCCAGGGTAGTCGTGACAGCAGTCCTTCCCACAGAGGTCCAGTTACCTTGATCAACCATATGTGGGTACGGAACAAGAATTTTGTCGAATGATCCAGGATTAAACCCGAACCATCCAAACCACAACAACAATGTTCCAAGCACTACTAGAGTAGCATTATGGCCTCTCATTTTCACAGGATTACCAAACGCATCAAACCGTCCCACTCTTGGACCCTCTACAATAGCACCCCAAAAACCGGCAATCCCACCAACCAAATGCACAACGCCACTACCAGCAAAGTCAATAGCACCAGAACCAAAAAGAAGAGAAGTCGAATTTGGACTTAACCAACCATTAGAAGACCAAAGCCAATGAGCAACAACAGGATAAACAAATCCAGTAAGGAAAAAAGAGAAGAAAAGATAAGCAGTAAATTGGGTACGTTCAGCAATAGAACCACTAGTAATTCCAGCAACTGCAATAGCAAAAGCCCATTGATAAAGAAAGAAACTGTAGTCATAAGAACTAGAAGGAATGTCTTTAAGAGCAAAATAACTAGCACCAATAAATGGATTTGAATCGCCGAAAGCAAAAGCAAAACCGAAAAGATAGTATGAAAGACTACCAACAACAGCATCAACTACATTTGTAAGCATAATATTCATCGCATTCTTTGCCCTAACAGAGCCAGCACAAAGCATGGCAAAACCCAATTGCATTACAAAAACCAAGTAAGCAGAGAATAAAAGGTAAATTGCATTTATGGAATCAGTTACACTAGCTTCCCATGAAGAATCCATTATTCCTTGCTTCACACAAGATTGAGATGATGGATATTTATTTAAAAACAGGTGAACTGGAATATTCAATGGGGTGGTCCAGAAAACTTGGAGGAGAATATTCATAGCGGAGCCAGGTAGGATCGAGGGGTTTATCTATCCTCCTATTTATACCTAATTAAAGTTTTTTTTTTATTAGGTATATACCATAGATATTGAATCCTCTTTTCGTGTGTCTATTTCTTCGTATTGAGAACTTTTTAGCGAAAGTTCTGATTCCGCCACTGAGTATATTCTGAAGAAGTTGTTTTGACAAGTTACTCATTTTCAGTCACTGAAGAAGTTTTGGTATGGATAACATGAAAATGGGTGGTTGATCTGTTGCTTTAAGGATAACAAGGATATCAACAAAGCTGGACAACTTGCTTCTTGGACATCATACAAATGAATAAGTCGGGAAGCTTAAGGACATTTTTTTTTCCCAAAATTTCCAAAGAAGCAATAGAATATATATATATATATATATCATCATATCTATATCTATATCTATATCTATATCTATATTACCTTAAAAACATGAACTCCTAATTTAAATGTTAAATTACTATAATATCCCTAACTTAGGTTGTGACTTTTACGATGAGTTGTGACTTTTTTCAAATGATTGTGATTTTTCGATGAGTTGTAACTTTTTCAAAGAGTTGTGACTTTTACAACAAGTTGTGACTTTTTCAATAAGTTGTGACTTTTCGAAAGGGTTGTGACTTCTCGGAAAGGTCATGACTTTTCAGATAAAACACAAAAACAGTTGTTCATACTACCCTTTGTTGACTATAAATAGAGGGGTTTCCTCTCATTTTTCAACCACGATTCTTTTAATTTTCTACTCTTCTTCTTCTTGCATTTTAAAAAATTTCATGTGATTTATTGTCGTTGAGTAAGTTCGAAGTTTAGCGGAATATGATGTACCACTATTCTGATGAAGTAAATTCTTCTATCCTAAGAGGGTGTATTCCTTAACCTCGAGTACTTGAGGAAACTAATTGTGATGATATAATAATTATTTTTTTGCTTAGTATATAGATTAGTATGTAATGTTTCAATATATGAAGTTAACATGATGTAGTCTAAATTTATTTGTTTTTGTTAACAATTTCTCTTGTGATGTAGATATATGCTTCTGAATATCTTTTTCAAAAATTATTAAACTTCTCAAGAGTTAGAGAATTGTCACGATTTGTTTTTTTGATGTCAAGATAAAATAATGACTTTATTTTTCAATGTTACTTATATGATTTCGATTGTCAGGAAGTTTGCTTCAAAATAGTTATTACTATATAAACATTGCCCTTTTGATTTACTGATTTACTATTTCTTAATATTTAAGTACTTTCGACGAAAAAAAGTTTATATGACTTGTAATAACACCAATTGAAATTTCTATTAGTTTAATTCTTATTGTAGTCTTAATTCATTTGTTTTTGTTTACAGTTTCACTTGTGATGTAGATATATGCTTCTAAGTATCTTTTTCCAAAATTATTAAACTTCTCAAGAGTTAGAGAATTGTCACGATTTGTTTTTTTGATGTCCAAGACAAAAGAATGACTTTATTTATTAATGCTACTTATGTGATTTAGATTATCAGGAAGTTTGCTTCAAAATAGTTATTACTATATAAACATTGCCCTTTTGTTTTACTGATTTACTATTTCTTAATATTTCAGTATTTTCGACAAAGAAATGTTCATGTGACTTGTAATAACGCCAATGGAAGTTTGTATTAGCTTA